CGTGTATGAATTCCCACCTGAGCGAAGGCCTTTCACAGGAAACGTGGCCTGAGCTAGAAAGTTGGGGTCTGAGAACATGTCCTCCTCGTTGACGATGAAGCGCAGGAAGGTGAGTTCAGGCTCATACACACTCAAGACTATGCGCTCTGAGCCTTTCCACACTGGGTTCAGACCATTGTCACCTGCAGGGGGCAGAAGCGTGCAAAGACTTAACCTGTGAAGCCTCAAGTCCCCAGAACCTCAAGCTGAAAAGAATAAAAGTTCCCGCAGAATTGCAGCGAAGCCCGAAGGTGCTCGAGCGCTGATTATTTTAAGGTTTTTCATTATTATTATATTTTGTGATGGACGACCTCTCCCGAGTCGTCCCGCCTTTTGCCCCGTGAGAGGTGGGACAGGCTCCAGCCCCCCACGTCCCACAATTTTTCCACTGTGAGATCAAAAGCCTCACAAAGACGAGGCAAATCTCAGTGTTGATATAGATACACAACAAACACAACCTTATTAAAATTTTACCATCGATCTTCTTTCAAATCTCTAATTCCTGCAGAAAGCGTTGAAATAACAAACATAAGCTACATTTTTAATAGAAAAACTAGATGAAATAGAGGAAAATAGAAAGGTTGCCGGAGAATCTCCTCACGATAGACGATGGTCTTGTACTTCTCCTCTGTGTGCCCGCACAGCTCGATCTCCACAAATGGACTGGCGATGCTGCGGCCTGGCTTCGGAAGGTGTCTGGCACCAATCACCTGCAAGGGACGAACACAACTGCTCTTATTCTCTGCACACCATCAGGCCCAACGTGCATTTTTGTACACAAGTCGACCCTGAACGTGACTCATAATCATGACAGAGGCACAGAGAGTGTGTGTGCGTGTGGCGCCACACCTTGACCACAATTTTGTATTTGACTTCCTTCTTGTCCTGATGAGGGTCGTAGCTATCCATACGCATGAACTCCGGCTGCAGCACGTAGCCCGTTTGTCCGTTCAGACTGAAGAGGGCGTTGTTCAGCTGCATGTATTTATCTGGGTGGACACAAGAACCTGAATAACTTCACAGAGTCACTTCTCCTTCAGGCAAATCCTGATAATATTCTGACAGGTAGACTCGATAGTGTAACCCGTGTTATTTTTTCAGGTGGAGTAGACAGATATCCCCCAAAGACATGACAGACAACAGAAAGAGGGCAGTTTGAGTTTAGCTTTAGTGCAGAGTGATGCATATCTTTAAATATCAGGACATAATAAAATGACCTGGCCTTAAAATGAGGTAAATGTAACTTTAAATGAATCCCAACACGTGACACGTTGCACTGTGGCATTATTTATTGAACAAAAACTAAGACAAGATGCTGAAGTAATGTGTGAAAAACTTTGAACTCCACCATGAACGCCTTTTATGTATCCTGGAGTCAGATGTGAGTCCCACAGCCCGACTGATGCTGTGGATAAACGAACTGAAGCAACAGCGTAAAGAAGAGTGGGCCGCCATGTTTGTTAACCTCACACAGGTATTTGAAAGACCGTACAGGTTACAGAACCATGGGGTGGACGCACTGCTTCTGCATGTTGGTTTAGCCCTAGTTAACTAAATAATGACACAGCGTCAGGTGTTGTTGTTCATCTCAGCTCATACGAACCCAAATGTACGACCTGCTAAAGACTAGAGATTTTTT